GTGTGTGTGTGTGTGTGTGTATTGGATACCACAGCCCAAACAAAACCCTAACAAACAAGGTTATAGACAAACAATTCGGGCTTTGCTTTTATGTGGAAATCTAATTTGCCTTCTTGGATTAGACCAAATAGGTTCAGTGTTAGAGCTCATGACACTGACGTCATGCGTGTCAGACATCGGGGCCTTCTTGCCCTTAATGTCTTTGCCCCTCCTCCCTCCCCCTCTCCCCCCATCCCTCCCCCTCCCTCCTCCCCCTATACATCATCATCCAGTGCCATATGTGCGACAGACATCGGCGATCGTGGTTCTCCATTTTTTCCTTAAAAAAAAAATAGCTACGTTTCCCTGATCACTGATCTTTCCACGTTGCCCATCTGTTTAGGTTCCCCAAGTAGGTTGCTCTGGCTTTACCCCTGCCTCTTTTGCCTTCAATTTTGCCAGTTATAGCTAGATGCTTAAGACCTTTATGTCTAGTCAGGTGTCCCAAAAACCTCATCATCTCCAGTAACAAATACAGCTTCAACATAAATAGCACTAACTAAGCGAACATCTGCTGTCGTCAATAACGCCTCCGCACCAATACCAATGACTACGTGAAAAAAAGTAAAAATATCATGAAAATGTGGCAAAAGAGAAACCCTTCACTGTATGGAAAGGTAATACTCTGTAAAACTTTCTTGCTGTCGCAAATTTCGTATATCATGCAAGCACTGTTATTACCTGACGAGGTCACTAGCTACATTGACACACTGTTTTTCAAATTTTTATGGCAGAAAAAGTTCTCGAACCGAAAGGCTAAGGAGAAGAACCCCAGTATCAAATCTTTTCTGTTTGTTACTCTCTTGTAACACCTCTAAACTTCGGCACTTACATGACCTTATTGTGTTGCAAGTGCCGTAAAACTCTTACTAAAACTAAACTAAAACCAGTATCAAGAATACATCAATATCAATAAGATATTAACATCTGTAACAATAAGTACATGAACACCAATATCAATAACACATCAGTAGCAGTACGATTTCAGCATCAACAGCAGCAACAACAACAACAACAACAACAACAACAACAACAACAACAACAACAACAACAACAACTACAACAACAACTACAACAACATCTTAAACAGCAGCTGCTGAACACAACAATAACACCACCACCACCACCACCACCCCCAACAACAACAACAACAACAACAACAACAACAACAACAACGACGACGACGACGGCCAGAAACAACACCATTAACAATCTCATATTATATGCTCTCATTCTTAAACAAATATTTCTCCTTTTTTCCCTTCCCCAGAATGATAAAGACGCCACCAACACAGACGATGGGAGTGTGACGCCTCCTGCCTCTATCGCCGACATCAACGACAACAACACAGCGCACACCAACGACCACCACCACCACGATGACGACCTCGACAACAACGATGATGATGACGATCAAACAGACGATACGGGCATGAACGAAAAGAACGACGATAAGCCTTCAGACATCATGAACGGGGATATGGACGTTGATGAGACGGGCGGTCCTAGTGTGAAGATGATGAACCATGACGTTGTGATGAGTGATGATGACGGGGGCCGAGACATTCTGAAGTTGAAGTTGAAGTTCTCTGAGGATGAGGCGGGTGGCAACAGTAGTATGTCCTCCAGGAAAGCTTGCGGCGGCTTGGATGACCAGCGGGAGTCGAAGGAGCTGGAAGGTGCTCGATCAGAAGCGGTGATGAAGGACCAGAATCAACAGCACCACCAACAACAGCACCAACAACAGCACCAAAAACAGCACCACAAGCAGCACCACCACCACCACAGTGGTGGGAACGGCGTAGGGGTGTCATGTCAGGAGCAAAGGAGCTTGTCCCCTCACCCACCCACCACCTCTTTGTCGTTATCCGCGCCGTCCCCGTCTTCTTTAGTACCACCAGCTCCATCGTCGTCGTTATCGTTATCCGGAGATTCCACGATAGTAGCAGCGGCAACGATAACGGCAGCAGAAGCAGCAACAGCAACAGCAGCAGCAACTTCGGCCGCGACTTCTGTAGGGTTATCGTCTTCGTTATCTTTGTCGTCGTCCATGTCTCAGCCAGTAGTAGCCGCCCCCGCCGCCGACGCTACAGATTCCTCTTTGCTTACGTCATCATCCCCCAACTTCTCCCCCTCCTCGGCGACGTGGGCGAAGACTGCCACAGCAAAAACAGCAAAAACAGCACACGAACAGCAACAGCAGCACCAGCTATCCTTATCAGCCGCGTCGTCGTCGTTAACGGGCGCGATGCCGTCGTCAAAATCCCCGTCCTCACGCACATCGTCATCATCATCATCATCATCGTCATCGTTATCCTCGCCCAGCCCGTCCTCCTCTCCCCCCACTACCACCACCTCCTCCCCTCCCCCTACGTCATCAGCGACCTCCCCTCCCCTGGGGTCCAACACGGCCGCTGTGATCCCCACCACCACATCATCCACCACCTCCTGCTCTACCCTCACCCGAACGGACACAAAAACAGCAGTAGTATCACCATCAGCAGCAGTGTCGTCATCAGCAGCAGTAGTGTCAGCAGCAGCAGTGTCATCAAAAGCTGCAGCAGCAGCAGCAGCACAGACGGCCAGCAACAGTACTGCTGCTAGTAGTAGTAGTAGTAGTAGCACCGCCGCTGCCCACAGAGCCCGTGATGATGTGCTGACGACAACCAGGACGAGGACCCCAGCAGTATCGGCCACAGACTTTAGAGACGGAAAAGACAGAGACGCGAATGACTCTCGAGATGGGCCCCACTCCTCCACGGCCACCTCAGCCTCCTCTGCAGCCTCCTCCTCCTCCTCCTCCTCCTCCTCTTTGTCCGCCGCGCCGATCGTGTGGGAGGCAAGCACCGGGAAAAAGTCGGCCAGTTCTGCTCTGCCGCCCACAAGTAAGTCTTTTTGTTTGTTTGTTTGTTTGTGTGTTTGTTTGTCTGTTTGTCCCCTCACCCACCCACCCACCACCTCTTTGTCGTTTTCCGCGCCTTCGCCGTCTTCTTTAGCCCCACCAGCTTCGTCGTCGTCGTTGTCGTCATTTTTGTTTGTTTGTTTGTTTGTTTGTTTGTGTGTGTGTGTGTGTGTTTGTTTATTTGTTGTTTTGTTCACCACCACCTCCTTCACCTTCTCCTCCAGGTCTCCTCCAGCGGGCGGTTGACGGGCGCTCTGGTGTGGTTTGCTCCTTCTGTCCCATCAAACACCTTTCGTCCTTATCTCTCCTTTTTTGTGTTTGTTACTTTCTCGTAACACTGCTAATCTTCGGCACTTATGTGACCTTATTGTGTTGCAAGTGCCTTAAAACCTCACTAAAACAAACTTCTCCTCCTCCTCCTCTTCCACTACCTGCGCCCACAAGTAAGTCGTATTGTTTGTTTGTTTGTTGTTTGTTTATTTGTTTGTTTGTTGTTGTTGTTTTGTTGTTCCCTCCCACCCCCCTTTTTTTCCTCTTCCACATACTGCGCCCAAAAGTAAGTAACACCCTCCTCCCTCCCATCCCCCCCTGGTTTTGGTAGACGC